AATAAAGTCATCTGCTTTGGGTGACTTCCTGTGTCTTTCTTAACGCTTCCTGAAATGTTAAGGTTGTATTTGTGATTGGTGAAATACTACATGAACTTATGTCATATATTCAAATTTGTTTTCATTAAATATATTTACTAGAGGTGATTGAATCATGCAACATGCAGAAAGTGACCAGGGGAAGAATGTGATTTATGATTAATGCTCAGTCATGTGAAAATTGGTTTAATCAGTTATTAAATCAGAATTTAGTTTAACTTAATTAACTTTCAGATTTAGTTTTCTTTGTAGTTGGAGGAATTTTAGGATATCACAACTTAGCACAGTAATTCCAAATTAAAAATCAACCCAATGGTGTCCTGCAAAACAAATATTAGGAATATTTGGCTCCTCTAAAATCTGTTATAGGCATTTCTTTCGGGGGCATTTGGGTCTAATTAGACACATATGTCTAATTGCACTTCGTGTCACAAAACTCTGAACTCCTCTAGTTCAGATACTCCTCTCCCTGCTAAATGTGCATAAGGAAGGCATTCAGTAATGTTGGTGCAAAGAATGGTAAACATTAACCATCTTCAATTCCCTTTGTTCTCCCCTCCAGATCTTCCAATTATACATTCCTGATGCTTTTAAAGTTCTCCCCAAAAATGCTGCAGTAGAGAACCTTGTTGTTCTTTATACTTTTAAATGTCAAATAAACGTTTTGCTCTTTCCTGAATATTTGTTGTCTATTGGCACATACGCCGATTTTGTTTTTCATTGATCGTACTTAACAATCTTGTTCTCTTCTTACGACATATCCACGGTTAGACAAATTCGTATCATTGGATGGTGTTAATGTCTGAGAACTTTTTCTTTTCAATTGGTGATGATGATTCTTATGTTCTAAGAAACTAGAATTTAAACGCTCTTTGTCAGTCTTTAAATGCTTTAAAACATCTACCTGTATAGTCAAGGTTGTTGTTATCCCGGGTCAGGCCTCTCACTGCATATGACTGTTGTATCACCATTTCACAGAGGGCAGAAATACAGTGTCCGAGTGAACGGGATTTGGCCAGCGTAAACCAGCAGTTAGTGACGGTCAGGGCCGGAACCCATAACTGACTCAAAGTGCTTCTTGGAACCTTCAGATTTCAAAACAAACAGAGCCTTCTTTTTCCTTCAGGTTAAAATCCTCCAGGCCACCGGGTTGCCCCAGCATCTGTCCCACTTTGTGTTCTGCAAATACAGCTTCTGGGATGAGCAGGAGCCCCTGATCGTGGCGCCTGAAGTGGACACCTCCTCCTCCTCCCCCGTCAGCAAGGAGCCTCACTGCATGGTCGTCTTTGATCATTGCAACGTGAGTTGGTTTTCTAGACCAGGTCAATTTTTAAACTGCTCTTGTAGAAACAAGACAGAAAAATAAACCATATTTCTTTGAGTGATTGTGCTGATGTGTGTCTCAGAGTTTCTTAGAGTGGGGATTGAGTCAGAAACTAAGGTGTCCATGCACCTAACTCCTTCAAGATGAAAAGTTAGTTTTCGTGTGGAAAACAAATATAATATGTGTAGATATCTGTGCTTACTCTTCTCCAAAAGAAATCTGTTTTGTATGAGATGACTGGAGAAATTTTCTTTCAGCTGTAAAACCAGTTCGGAGAGGTCAGTTTGCCCATGGCTAGTGACGGGCAGAATCTGGACTGTCCCGTTTCAGAGTCGTCTTTGCTCCTGCACCGCACTTGAGCCATCTCATTTTTTTCAAGAGAGAGGCCTCTTTCAAATCTGTTTAAATCAGAGATACCTTCAGCGCATTAAAGAGGGAGAGAGGGAGAGAGGAGACACCAACAGAGACAGGAGATTCCACGACTTTCTTTAATAAATGGTTTTAGAGCTAAATCCTTGTGTGGAATGCTATCTTATAAAGATGGACAGGTTGGGAGAATTTTTAAAAAGTAAGTCTTTTTTGCATTAATGATCATTATTTCCTTTGTCTCCTATTATTAGAGACAGTTAACTTTCTAAAAAGTGGGGAAAATCTTTTTTCAACCCACTGCCACCTTGCACGTGATAACTTTTCCACCGAGACATTATGGATCATTGCTGTATACTTAATATAATTATACTTTTAAACATAGCTCCCAAAATATTGCTAACAAAATAGAGCACAATATTGGTCTCTCATACTAGACTTTCAAGGGGAAGAGTTTTAGAAGTTCACAATTGTAGTTATTTTTAAAGTCAAAAACCTCAGGCCATCTGAGCACTCATGGGTGTCTAGATGACTGCTCTATAACTAAAACATTCTGTTTTCTGTTTCTCTTCCGCATGATATAATTAAGTATGTGTCGTCTGGTGTAGATCATCGTAAGTTTACCAGAAAGTATTTGCTGTCATGTAATGAGCTGTTGTGTTTCAGGAGTTTTCTGTTAACATCACTGAAGACTTCATCGAGCATCTCTCAGAGGGAGCGCTGGCGATTGAAGTATATGGACATAAAATGAACGACCCGCGCAAAAACCCGGCCCTGTGGGACTTGGGAATCATCCAGGCAAAAACACGGAGTCTTCGGGACAGGTGAATATTAGATGTTCATCTGGTCCCATTTATAATTTCTAAAAATTGCTACTAATTTCCCGAGTGTTGCCAGCGTTCCAGGGACGGATGGCGGTGTCCCCAGGGCGTGAATCACACAGTTACACTTCCTTAGGGCAGGCGACTGTGAGGACTGGCGGAAGAAGATTAAATGTGTAGCTGTTTAAGAAGAAACAGCGAAATGAGTTTCGGAGAATGGTCACTTACCGTTAAACAATGGCGTCTAATCAGCTGTGGAGAGTGGATCAGGATCTACTCTGGGGGTCACGTGACTTTGTCTTCTGCTCACAGTTCTGTGTGGGCGGCGTCCGTGATGGAGAGCGGTGGGCTTGCTTGTTGACGTATTAGGAAGAGTTAAAAGGGAATCTCTGAAATCGCATGTGTACTTTTCATCTACTTAGAGAT